GAGACAGGGTCTTACTCTGTCACCCAGGCTGGGGTGCAGTGGTGTGATCTTGGATCACTACAACCTCTGCCTCTCAGGCTCAAGCAATTCTCCTGCCTCAGCCTCCTGAGTAGCTGGGTTTACAGGCACGCGCCACCACGCCTGGCTAATTTTTCCATTTTTAGTAGAGATAGGGTTTCACCATGTTGGCCAGGCTGGTCTCAAATTCCAACCTCAGGTGATCTGCCCTCCTTGACCTCACCTGAGTGCTGGGATTATAGGCATGAGCCTCCGTGCCGGGCTCCTTGGTTTAAAAAAATAAAAATACTTTCTCCAAGAGCTACAGTCCTGCATTTACAACTGCCCATCAACAGTTCTCTTTAGATGCTTGCAGCTGTTTTCATTCACTCGATGTTTTTTAGGTGTTTGTTCTGAGCTTGGCATTGTTATAGGTTATTATAATACAAAGACTGCAAAATAAGTAAATAAAATTTAAAAGACATTGTCCTTAGGAGCTTGAAGTTTTGTTGGTTTGTTTGAGACAGAGTCTCACTCTGGAGTGCAGTGGCGTGATCGGAGCTCACTGCAACCTCCGCCTCCTGGATCCAAGCAATTCTCCCGTCTCAGCCTCCCAAGTTGCTGGGATTACAGGTACCCACCACCACACTGGGCTAATTTTTGTATTTTTAGTAGAGATGGGGTTTCACCATACTGATCAGGCTGGTCTTGAACTCCTGGTCTCAAGTGATTTACCCACCTCGATCTCCCAGAGTGCTGGGATTACAGGCATGAGCCACTGTGCCTGGCCAGAGCTTGAAGTTTTATGAGGGAAACAAACAGAAAAACAGTTGTAATACATTACAGGTATAGTAAGGGAGGTATCCGCAGGTGTAACGGGAGAATGGAATAAGGATGCTTGTGATCAACTCTTCTTCCCCAAGACAAATGGCACAGTAGGAAGAACAAGGATAAAGTAGGTCTTAACGTACTAGCCTTCTACCTAGCCAGTGTGTTAACCTTTCAGCCCCATGTCTTCTGCTAGACACTGTGAGTGATAAAGATCTTTTTTTTTTTCTTTTTTAGAGACAGGGTATCTGTTACCCTCTGACAGGCTGGAGACTGCAGTAGTGCAGTCACAGCTCACTGAAGTAAAGGCCTTTCATATGGTGCAGGAATTGCTATAAGGAACAAGCTAATGGGAGGCTAAGGTGGAAGTATCACTTGAGCCCAGAAGTTGGAGACCAGCCTGGGCAACACAGCGAGACTCCGCCCCTACAAACAATTTGAAAAAATCAGCTGGGCCTGTAGCCTGCGCCCGTACTCCCAGTACGGGCTGAGGCGGGAGGATCACTTGAGCCCAGGCGCTATGATGACGCTCCTGCACTCCAGCCTAGGCAACAGAGAGAGACCCTGTAATTAATAAACAAACAAACAAACAAACAAATTTGTATACCAATACTATAAGCCATCCCCTCCTGCCACTTTTCCTATTCCCATAGTCTTGTTATCCTCCAGTTCACCCTAGATGAGAATCTCAAAACTATCTTTGATGCCTTCTTCCTTTCCCTTCACACCATGTCACCAAGTCCTGCCCACCTGCCTTGGCATGTTCTCTGCATCCTGCCCTTCCTTTCTCTTTCCATCTTATCATAGCGTCATGCCCTCCTTGTCATGGAGGGCCTCGCACCTAAACTGTTGTGACAGTCCCTGCTGCCTGTGTCTTTCAGTTCCACTCTTTTTAAAATTCAGATATCTCTTCCTAAAAGATTGCTGTATTTATGTCATTCCCCTGCCCCAATAAATTCAAATTTTCCCTTATTATTTTTTTGAGACAGAGTTTTGCTCTTGTTGCCCAGGCTGGAGTACAGTGGCATGATCTCAGCTCACTGCAATCTCTGCTTCCTAGGTTCAAGTGATTTTCCTGCCTCAGCCTCCTGAGTAGCTGGGATGACAGGCACGAGCCACCACGCCTGGCTAATTTTGTATTTTTAGTAGAGACGGGGTTTTTCCACGTTGGTCAGGCTGGTGTGGAACTCCCGACCTCAGGTGATCTGTGTGCCTCGGCCTCCCAAAGTGCTGGGATTACAGGCGTGAGCCACTGCACCCAACCTTATATCGGAAGGCCAAAGTCCAAACCTTACAGTCTCACACTTAAGCTTTTTGGCAATTTGGCTCTATTTTATTTACCCACACTTATCTGGTCTCAGCATAAACCTGTAATATTAACAGGACTGGCTCTCTCTTGTCTCCTAAACAACCGTGCTGAAGCCCCGACATCCATAACTCATCCCCTCATTCATTGTAGCCTCTCCCAGTTTAAGGGGGTAGGGTGAGAAGGAGCAGACATGGACATATGAGTAAGGTGCAATTACAGTGCAATGGGATATTGCGGTGCCATCTGCCCCCGGGGAATAGCCTCTGACTCCTGTCCATCCTTCAAACCATGCTCAGCGCACATGTCCCTGGTGAAGCTTTCCTGGATGAGTTTATCACCTTCTGAACACCTGTGGCACTCACTCTTTGCACTCCTATAAATAAGTGCTTCTCAAATTTGAGGCATAAACTACGGGGCCCCACTGTCAGAGATACTGACTGTAGAGGTCCAGGATGCGGCCAGGGAATTTACATTTTTAGCAGGCTCCAACGAGGGTTTGCAGACCTCACTTTGAGTATCTGCATGGATGACGTACTTGTCCCTTCCACCCTTTCACTTCCACTCTAACTCTATATGGGCAGAAAACGTGTCTTCTTGTCTCTTTGTGGATCAACTCCCAAACACCAGCAATTAATTGCCTAGCACAGAGAACGTGCTTCCCAAATTTCACTTTTACTTGCTCAGTATACAATGCCATCCAAGTTTTCATTTGGCACTTATGACAGCCGTGGCAGGTAGGGAGAAAGGGCATCCTTCTTACAGACAGATGGGGAGAGAGTCCAAGCCACCAGAAGGCAGAGATTGGCTGATGCAGGCTTAGTTAGAAACCGTAGTGCAAGCCACACAGTTGCTTTAGTTGTGGGCTCCTTGGCACTAGCTTCTAGGGCTGGTGCTGAACTTTAAAGCCCACTTTCCTCTTCTAGAAAGGAGCGAGGAAGGAACTGACATTTACTGAGCAATTACTGTCTGCTAAGACTTGACCGCAGGATGTATGCATTATTTCAGGAGATCGGGGAAGTACAGTAATGGATACCCCAGTTTTAAACATGTAAAACGTGGAGGCCGAGGACATCCAAGTTTTTGTGCCTCATTGCATAGCATGGAAGAGGCAGAACAGGCCAGACAAGGAGAAAGTGACTTCATATTTGTTGGAGGTCAGTTTTGTATGCAGGTGTGTTGTTCTGGGTGAAAGCAGAACAAGAGACAGAACAATTAACCCTCACAATTTAGTCCTCACAATTACCTTGCAAAGGAGATTTCATTTCACTCATTTTAAAGACGAGGCAGTAGTTTCAGAGAGGTTATGCAATTTGCCCAAGGCCACACAGCTGAGAAGAGGAAAAGCTGTGGCGGGTAGAGCTGGGATTCCTGGACTGTCTGACCTCAAAGTTCGCGCAGGTTCTGCAGCCCCGTCCTGTGTCATGCCATGGGGTCTGTGCACAGTTGGCACAGCACATCAGTAGCAGAAACAGGAGTGGGTCCCAGGTCTCCACATATCCCCTGCTCCCTGACAGTATCTTCTAGCATTCTGTTTACTCCGGGCCTAGATTCAGGCTCTGTCCTGCCCCTCTACTTCCCATTGGAGGCTACTTCTGGGGAAGTTATGGTGCACAGGAAAGAGGAGGAGAAAGTGGGGGAGACCAGGCCTTCAGCTAGCTGAGAGTAGGGCTGAGGAGCATGCACCTAGGAAGGATGGCTTCTGCAAGGTAATTGGGAGGTGGGAGTTTGTGTTTCTTCCAGATTCAGCTGTCTAAGAAGTTCGGGGAAGTGTGGCTGTCCCCTGCGCCCACCCCAAACACACTCCCGCCTTCACAGACCCTCCCAAGGACAGGCTTCCCAGACACAGATCCGGGGGTGGCTCACAGAGATGGGCAGGATCAGATTCAAGGTGACACGCACCAGCATACACAGAACCATAGTGCCGCCCGGGCCTGGACTCCCCAACAGAGGCGGCAGATGCACATAGAGGTTAGCCACAGCACCCCACATGGAGGGCTGCTCACCCACAGAGGTGCAGAGGGCACCACCTTCACCAGCCACCTTGAAGGTACCTTGGAGATTGTCAGGAAGGATAGGGAGTGCAGGCAGTGCTTTCTCTATCACGGCCATGCCTCCTCTCTCCCCTGCCATGGAAGGAGTCGCACTCTTAGAAGGGAGCTCTGGCTCCTTTCCTACCATTTGTGCTTTCCCCAGGTTCAGTTCAGTTCCCCTCTGGCCTGGGGAGGTGCGGGGTAGGGGAGGGGCTGCAGTGTAGACCACCATACGGGGAAGGGGAGGAGGAGGGGACAGCAGGAGCCTGTTCAGGTCTTCCGGGCTGAGTGCAGTCACGGGGGCCTCAGCAGCATCACTTTGGGGGTCCCTGTGTCAGCCCTGATGGTGTGAGCAAGGGGCTGATCCAACTGCTGCCAGGATTCCTTGGTCCCAGAGGTGCTGGGAACAATGGTGGGAACATCGGAGGAGGGAACAAGGTTGGGTGGCCAACCTCCAGAGTGATGGGATTTGGGAGACTCAGTCTGGGCCACTGTCAGAGGGGACTGACACCTGTTATAGTGCCCCTGTGGCGGACCCTTCACCCAGGTCAGCCTCCCCAGCTGATGTGTCTCTCTTGCCCCAAATCCTTCCTGAGGGCATATGTGTCAGATGAGGAGCAAGGGGAACTAGGCAGCCAGTGAGGGGAGACGGGGAGGGAAAGGGGAGCTTGGAAACACTTCTGCCAACGACCACGTGACTCCCGGGAAATGGTTGGGGAGGGGTCCTTCCTGCTGTCCCCACCAGCCCTTTTGAGTAGGGGCCAGCCTGCGGCATCCCCATCCTGTCTCCCCCTGCTCATGCAGGGGAAGGGCTAGGGCTGGCCTGACCACCTTACCGTCTGCGGGGGGCTGCCCACGGTCATCTCCACGTAGTAGCCCTGCCCCGACTTGCCCCTCAGGTTGTCCACCATCTCCACAAAGCTGCCCCTCCGGCCGGGCTCCTCGGGCTCCTCGTCGGTCTCCCGGGGCAGCCGCAGCCCCAGGGGGGCGCCCCCCAGGCCACTGCGCAGGGGCAGCCGGATGCCGTGCTGGGTGCCGTGGGCAGGCAGCACTCCCGCGCCCATCCACAGCAGGAGCCAGGGCAGGGCTTGGGCCATGGTGGGCCCCGGCCTTCGGGCCCTCTAGGCTCGCACTGGTCCACGTCCGTCCCTGGCGCCTGTCCCCAAGTCTGGGTGGTGCTGGTGGCTTCTCAGGAGAGGGAGCTTGGGGGCATCAGGACGCCAGAGCCTGCAGGGCCCTGGGCTAGCCCCCGGGTCCGGGCGGTGGAGAGCGGGCAGGGGAGATCCGCAGAGCTCGGGAGAAGGGGAGAGGCTGGGATCCGGAGCCCACTACATCGGCACGGCGGCCGCCAGCCTCGGCAGCGGGCGCGGGCTCCCGGCGGGGCTGGGAGGGGCGGGCATGGCGGGCCGGCGGCGGCTTCCCGGGTCCCCCCGGCGGGCGGCGGCGCGGGCAGGGGCAGGGACTCCGGGATCCTGCGGCTGCGTTGGCTGCTCAGGCCACCATAATCCAGCTCACGGATCGCAGCTCCCGGGCGGGCTGGGGAGGCGGAAAGACTTGTGGCGGCGGCTGTCAAAGCCAAAGGGTTTTCGCTTTTCCCTGGGATCGCTGGGAAGTGTAGTCTTCCCATGGCAGGCAATCCGGCTTCCGGGGCTCTAGAGGGGTCTGGGATGCCCTCTGCCGAGGTGGAGTCCGCCCTGCAGGGCCCTGGCGGGAAGGGCCAGATGGATGGAGGGGAGCACACCTCTCTTCTGTCAGTCTTTCCGCATGGAAGGAGCACCCACTTTATGCCAGGCACACTTGCAGGTGCTGGGGCTACAAAGAGAAACGCACATGCACCAAAGGTGGTTGCACAAGGGACAGTTAAGTGATTCCTGCCACTGTGGGTTTTCATATTAAACGATGTGGCATTAAGGAGTAGGGATTTGGGGGGACATCTAGGGGATCTGGGAAGACTCAGTGGGAGAAGGTGGTATTTAATTTGAGTGTTTAAAAATGGGTAGGATTTTCAAGAGCAGAGACTGAGGGAGCAAGATTAAAAGGGATGGAAGAGTTTTTCCAGGCTGCAAACCACCGGAGCAGGGTCCAAAAGGGGAAAGTGCAGTTGTCTATTTTCTCCTGCCCCTGCAGTCTACTTGCAGGTAAGAAACAGCGGGTTTCTCGAGGTAAGAAACAGCCTCAAAGGGTTGAGGCTCTACTTTCCTTGAATTCTCATGACCCCTCTGATTTTCTGCATCATCAGCCAGACTGAGGAGAAACAGCTGTTGACAGCTTTAAAGTGTTAACACTCCAAGAAGTATCTGTATATTAACTGGTAAGAGCTTAAAGCCTTAAAAAGCGTTAGAGTTCTAACAGTTTAAAGGGGAAAAGCCGGTATGGTTTTAGCAATATATTGTTTATCAAATGTGGACAGCCATTGATAAAATTCAGCAGTCATTCTGATTTTTTATTATTATTATTTTTTGAGATGGAGTTTTGTTCTTGTCACCCAGGCTGGAGTGCAATAGGGTGATCTTGGCTCACCACAACCTCTGCCTCCTGGGTTCAAGTGATTCTCCTGCCTCAGGTTCCTGAGTAGCTGGGATTACAGGCATGTGCCACCACACCCAGCTGATTTTATATTTTTAATAGAGGCAGAGTTTCTCCATGTTGGTCAGGCTGGTCTCGAACTCCTGACCTCAGGTGATCAGCCCGCCTCATCCTCCCAAAGTGCTGGAATTACAAGTGTGAGCCACTGCACCAGGCAGTCACTCTGATTAAAAAATGAAGGGGAGGCCAGGTTCGGTGACTCACACCTGTAATCCCAGGACTTTGGGAGGCCAAGGTGGGCGGATCATGAAGTCAGGAGATGGAGACCATCCTGATTAACATGGTGAAACCCCATCTCTACTAAAATACAAAAAAATTAGCTGGGCAAGGTGGCAGGCGCCTGTAGTCCCAGCTACTCAGGAGGCTGAGGCAGGGGAATCATTTGAATCCGGGAGGGAGAGGTTGCAATGAGCCAAGATCGTGCCACTGCACTCCAGCCTGGTGACAGAACAAGACTCTGTCTCCAAAAAAAAAAAAAAAGGGAAAACTTCTTTTTTCTTTTGAAAGGGAGTCTTGCTTTGTCACCCAGGCTGGAGTGCAGTGGCATGGTCTCGAATCTGCAACCTCTGCCTCCCAGGTTCAAGCAATTCTCATGCCTCAGGCTCTGAGTAGCTGGGACTACTAGTGCATGCTATCACACCTGACTAATTTTTCTATTTTTAGTAGAGATGGGGTTTCACCATGTTGGTCAGGCTGGCTTGAACTCCTGGCCTCAAGGGATCTGCCCACTTGGCCTCCCAAATTGCTGGGATTCTAGGCAGGAGCCATTGCACCCAGCTAGGAAACTTTTTAAACAAGATAACAAACAAACAAAAAAATCATACAAAATATAGTAGTAACGGGCTAAGTTAGTCCCATTCAAGGCAGGCTTTGGAAAGGAAAGATCATTATCTCTCCTCTTATCCCACACAGTTCAGAACAGTCTGACTGACTCAAAAGACAAGAAAATGGAAAAAGTGTTATACGTGTTGGAAAGCAAAGGAATCAGTAGTTGCAGATTGTATGACATGGATAGAAATCCTAACCAATGAAGTAATTAGACACAAGTTAAAAATATAAAAATCAAAATAGAGAAATGTATGAGAATTGTATATATGATGGAGATGGCATTTGTATCGGAGGAAGATGGATGCATTATTCAAAAACTGTTGTTGGGACGTCTGGCAACCCATTTGGAAGGAAAGAAAACCAAATGTCTATTTCATTCATCTGAAAATAAATTCCAGATAGATTAAAAATTTAACATTAAAATAAAACTACAGGAAAAATAGAATATTTTTATCATCTTATATTGAAAACTATCTCCCTAATGAAATCCAGAAGGTAAAGAAACCCAAAAATTGGATGGGTTTGATGACTTAAATATTTAAAACTTCTGTAGAATCAGAAGTATTCCAATACTGCCAGTGTTCTAATTTTGGTTCAACTAGTGAGCGGGAGACCCCACCCTGGTTACTTAACCTTTTTGAGTCTTTTTTTTTTTGAGACAGAGTCTTGTTTTATCGCCCAGGCTTGAGTGAGTGCAGTGGCTCAATCTCAGCTCACTGCAACTTCCTCCTCCTCGGTTCAAGCAATTCTCGTGCATCAACCTCCTGAGTAGTTGGGATTACAAGAGCCCACCACCATGCCTGGCTAATGTTTTTTTTAGACAAAAGTCTCCCTCTGTCACCCAGGCTGGAGTGCAGTGGTGTGATCTCGGCTCACTGAAACCTCCACCTCCTGGGCTCAAGCGATTCTCCTACCTCAGCCTCCCAAGTAGCTGGGATTATAGGCATGTGCCACCAGGCTCATGCCACCACACCTGGCTAACTTTTTTTTACTTTTACTAGAGATGAGGTTTCTCCATGTTGGCCAGGTGTGTGCTCTCAAACTCCTGACCTCAAATGATCTGCCTGCCTTGGCCTCCCAAAGTGCTGGGATTACAGGCGTGAGCCACTTTGCCTGGCCCCTAATGGAGATAATGATATTAATAGTTCAAACCTTATAAGGTAAGAGTTTGATGAGACAATCCATGTAAAGCATTTAGAATGGTGTCCAGCATGTTGTAAGTGCTCAGCAAAGGTCAGCTGTTAGTATTATTACTGTTGCAATTACTGAGAAAAGTGACATTTATAGAGTTAAAAGATTAGCCACAGATTAAGAAACAATATTTGCCACACAATAGAGGGACAAAGGGCTAATGTTATAATGTTCAAAGGGCTTCTACAAATCAATATAAATTCCAAACAACCTGACAGAAAAATGAACAAAGGGTAAGGGGAAAGAGTGAGGAAAAACAAAAGCAACAACAAAAACCAAACAAAAAAGAAGAGAAAAAGAAAATGAACAAAGAATGTGAACAGGGAATTCACAGAAGAAATTCAAATGGATGATAAACATGAAAAAAAGCATATGAAGAAAGCTTAACTTCATTAGTAGTTGAAGGAACAAAGTAAAACAGTAGATTCTTTGTTCCCTTTCTCTTTCTTTTGTTCTCTCTTAGATTTGTAACATTTGGTATTGATGAAGGTATGTTTGGACTATAAATTATTCCATTTTTCCAGAGTAATTTGCAATGCCTATTAATATGTAAAAAATGCAAACTCTGGGCAATGTCACTTCTAGGACCCTATCCAACAAAAACAACAACGTTTCAGCAGTGTGTACTACAGCAAAACCTTGGGTTCACAACAAAGCTGGGTGTAGTGGGCTCATGCATGCAATCCAAGCTACTTGGGAAGCTGAGGTGTGATGATCGCTTGTGGCCAGGAGTTCAAGACCAGCCTGGAGACAGAGCAAGACCCCATCTCTTTAAGCAAAACCAAAAAAAATCATCAGGCCAGGTGTGGTGGCTCACTCCTGTAATCCCAGCACTTTGGGAGGCTGAGGTGGGTGGATCATTGAGGCCAGGAGTTCAAGACCAGCCTGACCAACACGGTGAAACCCTGTTTCTACTAAAAATACAAAAAAAAAAAAAAAAAAAAAAAGGCCAGGAGCAGTGGCTCATGCCTGTAATCCCAGCACTTTGGGAGTCCATGGAGGCAGATTATTTGAGGGCAGGAGTTTGAGGCCAGCCTGGCCAACATGGTGAAACTCTGTCTCTACTAAAAATACAAAAAAAATTAGTCAGGCACTGTGGCAGGCACCCATAATTCCAGCTATTCAGGAGGCTGAGGCAGGAGAATCTCTTAAATCCAGGAGCCACAGGTTGCAGTGAGCCGAGATTGTATCACTGCACTCCAGCTTGGGCAACAGAGTGAGACTCTGACTCAAAAAAAAAAAAACAAAAAAAAAAACCAACAAAAATTAGCTTGGTGTGGTGGCACATGCCTGTAATCTCAGCTACTTGGGAGGCTGAGGCAGGAGAATCACTTGAACCTGGGAGATGGAGGTTGCAGTGAGCCAAGATCACACCATTGCCCTCCAGCCTGGGCAACAGAGTAAGACTCTGTTTAAAAAAAAAAAAAAAAAAAAAAAAAATTCAATAGGGAATAAGATATCTGTTCAATGAAATCCTAATTAACTATTAAAAACAGTGGCACAGCTTTTTATAAACTGGCCTTGGAAGATGTTTATGACATGTTAAAGAAAGTACATGTGGCCAGGCATGGTGGCTCCTGCCTGTAATCCCAGCACTTTGGGAAGCCAAGGCGGGTGGATCACAAGGTCAGGACTTCAAGACCAGCCTGGCCAATATGGTGAAACCCTGTCTCTACTAAAAACACAAAAATTAGCTAGCACATGCCTGTAGTCCCAGCTGCTTGGGAGGCTGAGGTGGGAGAATCACTTGAACTCCAGAGGCGGAAGTTGCAGTGAGCCAAGATCACGTCACTGCACTCCAGCCTGGGCGACAGAGCAAGACTCCATCTCAAAAAAAAAAAAAAAAAGAAAGAAAGAAAGTACGTTAGAACAATAACATTATGATCTCATTTCTGTAAAAATTAAGAAGAATGGGCTTGTGCATATATGTATATTTAAAAATGTATAT